TATATATATATATACCATGCGTGGGCATAATGAGCAGTAAAACTAGTCTCATAGTCAATGAAAATTTATACCTTGGAGGGCCTGATGTTAAAGTTTAAAATTCATTCACTTTTTAGTTTAAAATTCTGTTGGAGACATTATAATTCGCTTTTTCAAATTGCCGTTGAATTGTTTTGAAATGTGGACAAACAGTGTCAATCCAATTAAAAAGTTTTCACCTAAAATTTCAGGTAAAGAATCAATTAAATATTTATCAATTTTAAAGTATCTAGCACAATATTTCCTAACTTACAATGATTAAATCGTATGTTCACATTCCTCAATAATTAGAAGAAAAAAAAATCACAAGTTATTTTTTTTAATTAACTTAAAATTTGAATTAAAAAAATTATTTAAAATTAAAGTAATAATGACACTTATTAAAAGTGTGTTTTATAATGTGTCATTGTACACGTCATACTTAAAAGAAACCAACAAAATGTTGTGAAAAAAAATGTAATAATCTGAATTCGAAAACGAAAGTTAATTTTTCATAATTTTCCTTTTTATTTTTATTTTTAGAGAGTGTTGAACAGAATAAAATAAATGGTTCAAGTTGCTGAGCTATTCAATAAAATGTGTCCTTAAAGTACATTTCGAGTAGCATTTTTAGGTAACAGTCTTAATAAGACTAAATTAGAAAATCCTATCAAAACGTCAAAAAAATCAAATCAAAAGATTATACGTTATTACTTTTATTTAATCAAAACATTGTAAAATTAAGTTTTCTATCTAAAACAAATATAATTTTAATAAAATGTTAAAAAGAAAAAATCAGTCGAATTCTGGGATAAAAAAGTGAGTTTTATCAGTTTCATAGTGTACCTTCAAAGAAATAACACATTCACTTTGTTTTTCTTCATTGTTTTTCATTTGGAATAAAAACGAAGAATTAAGCTGAGGTAAACTTCATTCGTAAATATTTTTTTTCATTTATTTTGTCTTTTAACAAAACAAACACAAATTTTTAAACAACAAGAACTTTTTCTTTCAAATCCACTACATTTTGTTTCTTTCAATTAATCCTTTTGAAAATGTTTGTTGTATTCAAAAATATTCGTTCGAATTTAAAAATATTCCTTTTAAAATCAACAATCTTCTAAAGTTATAAAAAGAAGAAAGGGAAGAGGGAAAGAAAAAGGAAATAAATGTTTTTAAATAATTTTAAAAGACATTAAAATTTAGAAAGAAAATTTACCTTTCATTGCTTTTTATAAGTTGCCTTATTGCAACGTTAAATGCAATCATTAATGAATTCCGTTGCAGAATTAAAATCTCAAACAATAATTGTCAAAAAAAGGGCACTTTTGTTACAAAACAAAAGTACTTTAATGGAGTTCAGAACATTTCTTAAATCACTCCTTACATAAAATAAAATATTCAAAAAGCACTAAGGAAGGAGTTTAATTATTAGATAATTTCATGGAAATCGGTTTGCTTTGTAACATAATAAAGCTCAACTATTTTTCAGATTGCTTGGGAACTTTATCCCATAACCCGTTCACCAATGAGGATATTTTCCGTCAGCACTGTGGTCGGTGCGAGCCGGGTGCGGAGTTCGTATCGCCCAGCCATCGCTGGGATTCTATATAAAAAAGTACCTAAAACTTGCCTTACGCATACGGAAAGATTTCGCCATACATATATGGCAAATATGTATATAAAAATTTAACCTTAAGCAAAACTTCATGATCTTAGTGGAGGCTTTATTGATGGAACTGATCCGGATTTGCGTTTCATGGATAAGAAAACTTTCCTCGAAAACCTTCCATGGTTAGCCTGACAGCAAAGGGTTTTTAACCTGTAATTTGTCTACCACTGAGGATATTTAAAGTCAGTACTTTGGTCTATGAGAACCGGATGCGGAATTCGAATCAACCTGCTATAAGTGATGTTCGGGACCGGGACCAGGGAGGACCGGGATTCGAACCCGGTTCACTTCATTGGAAGTCGAGCGCTCTACCCCTGGGAAACCACGGTTCCCAATCAAGGACTGCAGGAAATCATTGTTTCCTCGTATTTAGGGGTGATCTGCGTTAAGTTCAGGGTGATCGTGGAAAATATGTAGAATTGATTCGATGCATAGTTTGCAATTTTCAGATATTCCAAAAACAAAATATGTGTTCCAACACTTTTGGAGGGTTTCTTTTGCCTTTTTTCCGTTGGTAAATTTCTTAATGTTTATAGCAACGAGACTGTGGACTTATTGTAAGGCACGGTTCCCTGCAAACGCACAGCAAAACACAGTCAAGCATCACTTACTGCGGGCCGTGTTCGGGTGGGTGTGACCACTTTGATCAGTCTGCGAAAGGACCGAGGATGTGTGGTATCGCTCTTCGTTAAACTGTTCTACCGTAAAGCAGTCGTTGGGCTACGTAAGATTTTAAAATTTAAAATTTCTTTCTAAAAACATTTGATTTTGCTAGTTGTAATATACTTGCTTAAAAAATTGAAAATATTTGTTTTAAGCAATTATTAACGTTTTAATACCAAAAATAGATAACATAATTGTCTCAACTTCTGCTCATTTGCTTAAAATCGCCTTCGTAACAAATTTAAACGAATTCTAGCATTTACCTAAGATCTATTTTCTATAGTCAAGAGGCACCGAAGCTGGCAGCCGCAATCGTACAGATTTTCGATATTTTTTTTAAAATGGACATGAAAAAAAACGTACATTCATTCGTACATCCATATAAAAACAATGTAGTTAAACCAATTCTAATTATTTATTACCATTTAAGGGCGGGAATATATGTTTTCTATACTTTTATAAATTGTCTTTTTCTTTTTAAGAAAAATAACACATGAAGAAAAAAACATAAATACAAAATATATTAAACAACTTTATTTAACAAATAAAGAAACAGATAGATACACATTTTACAATGCGCCATTTTAAAATAAAAGAGCTCAGAATTAACAGCATTATATATATGGAATGAATTATAATAATTCCTAATCTGAAATGGAAAATTAAAAAAAACAGCCAATATATTACATACAATTTTCTTCCTAAAATAACAGAGCATGCTGTACAGAAATTAATTACAAAAAGACACACATATTTCAAAAGAAACGAAACTGGTTTCTTTTGCTGGTTAATTACAAATTACTTTCTCACTATAGAAAGCTCTTTATTTTTACATAAACATGTTTTTATTTACAACTGATTTTAATAAAACAATAATAATGTTTTGAGGGAACTTAACAGAAATAAAATTCTGTAATCTTCAGCTGAACGCTATCATTTTTTCGTATGTCCCTGTATTTTAGATTTAAAAAAAAAGAATGTTAAGGTCTATTTAGAAAAAAAATAGTAGAAGTGTAAGAGTTTTTTTTAATTTTTTATAGAGAATAGTCAACTTGATTCAAATTAATTTTTCACAATAAAACGGTAGACCATCATAAACCTTCAACAATGACACCATTAGCTAGAAACAAAGATTTTGTCGAGCAAATTTATGTTTTCATTTGGTATAATCTTTTTTTTTTATCTAAATGGGGCATTCACCCCTGTGGCAGAAATATTTTCGGGCATTCTGCTACATACCTCTCTAGTACTAATATCTTTCTGCAAGATACTTTTAATAATAACAAATATGCATGTTACTAATATAAAGTAACCAAAGCGTCAACTTTAAAAGAAAAACTTTTCGGTTACAGAATTTTTTTAAATTCGAATACTTAATATTTTTTTAAATTCTAATATCATGGGCAATATTCTCGCATTTTGCAGGGGGAAAAACGCACTAAATATTTCTTTTTTCGCATTTTGTAAATCATCATCACATTAAAAAGAAAATGATAAAAAATCGTGAAACAGTAACTACCGAAAAGTAGCTCGACGGAGAAATTACGCGAATCGAACTCTAAAAAAAAAAGGTTTGGTAACTACGTGTTTTTATTTCGATATTCAGTTGTTGTAAAAAATAATATAGTGTTAAAAATATGATTTTAAAAACTATATGGAAGTTAAAATTAATAACTGCAAAAAAAAAAAAATAGAACGAAAATTTCTATAGGATAGTTTATATAAGCTATGGAGGCACCATAAGATCATGAATTTTGTTTTAATTACACAAGCATTATTGCAAAGTTGTAAATATTACATTATTTTCTACATTTTAAGTTATATAACCGCAATGTGAAATAACATGCTTCAAAATTTTTAATCGCTGACAAATACAATAAAAACTTTAAATCTGGTAACAATGATTTCATTTTAAGAATGAAACACAAAAATGTACTGCTCAGACTTTTCTACTTAAGTTAAAGCATAGTTTAAACGAAGTAGTATAGCTCGTTCACCAGGAGTTGGCACTTGGCTCCGCCTTCATCACGTGGTATGCGACGATACTATTTCGCTATTTTTGGGAGAAGGTTGCGAGCAAACTTGAACAATGTTGCTATTTGGCAATCGTTTGGCAAAAATATTTATTTCGCAAACTTTATGTGCATTTTTTTAATAATAAATATTTCATAAATTTGATTATATTTTGCACCATTTCTTATGATATTTCTTTCTTTTGAGTGAATAGTTTGTCCTTTATGAGCCATTTCGCTGGGAGAACAACAAGAGAAGATAANATATAGTGTTAAAAATATGATTTTAAAAACTATATGGAAGTTAAAATTAATAACTGCAAAAAAAAAAAAATAGAACGAAAATTTCTATAGGATAGTTTATATAAGCTATGGAGGCACCATAAGATCATGAATTTTGTTTTAATTACACAAGCATTATTGCAAAGTTGTAAATAGTACATTATTTTCTATATTTTAAGTTATATAACCGCAATGTGAAATAACATGCTACCTTTCAAAATTTTTAATCGCTGACAAATACAATAAAAACTTCAAATCTGGTAACAATGATTTCATTTTAAGAATGAAACACAAAAATGTACTGCTTAGACTTTTCTACTTAAGTTAAAGCATAGTTTAAACGAAATAGTAAATACATCACGTTTTCACAATGCAACATATTCAAAATTTTAACAACATATTTTATTTTTACAAATTTATTGCCTTTTCAAGTACCAGGTTGCATGAAACGCATCGTTTTCACCTCTCCATTAATTAAATTAGAATTTATTAAGTCTCATTTAATGTACATAAAAAAATCACGTTTTTTTGACACTGGGAAGAAACTGCTGCATACATCTGTATGCGTTTTCCATTTTCTAAAAGAAAAACCCCGTATTGGCTATCTGAATATTGGGTTTCTCCTATGAATCACTCCCAAATTTGGTAGCCAGATAAAATCGACCCCTTGAAAGAAGATTCAGGTACTCGCGGAATAATAGAAACAACAGTTCGATATGAGCCACAGATCACAGAGAATATCCCAAAAGAGATACAAAATGTTTTGTCAATAGCGAAAGCTCAAGTTTGTATTATTCAGAAACAGTTCCATCATCTTGTCAGCAGACCGATAGCGAAAATCCAGAGCAGAGAACCATAGTTGCTGTTGGCATCGCTGGTGGAAGACTCGACATGCGCAGAAGGGCAGTCGATGACCTGGCGATGAAATGAATGTTTCTTCCGTCTCTCACACTCATTGCGATAGGGTCCTATGCAAGCAGCGTATGCCATGGCATGAGGTACGTAAGTCTGTTCTTGGACCCCTCTGAAAAGATGGGCCATGGGGCCACGAGCATAAACTGGTACATCCTCGCCACCGTGTGTATCCCATCTACGTGGTACAGCACTTTGTTGGACATAATTCTTATCCTCTGTAATAAACATTGACATCAGACGCTTAAATTGAACAAAATATATTTATATATGAATCAGAGTTCGAAAACCAGTCACCTCCACTTTTTCCCCGTCAAAAATTGAGATTCTTGCATTTTTTAAAGCTCAGCTGACGTAGATACATAGTTAGGATATAAAACAAATCATGTCCTCCTACATGGTATCGAACATTTTGTGCATTAAAATTTAAATAATGTTCGAAAGCATGCCATAATTCTAAAGATGATCTGTTCGCAGAATAAACTTCGAAATATAACCACAAGATGGCTGCCGTTGTTGCTTATGTAGCAACAATTTTACCTGGACCCCAATTGGGCTCAAAATTGGCTCAATATGATTCCCATATGAACATACACCAATGGAAGAATATTGGGATGTATAGATTTTTTAATATTGGTTTATATAGGGCCAATATCGATCTTTAAGAGGCCAAGATAGGGCCTATATTGGCTGAAAAATGTATCTGAAATATCGGGTGATTCTAACAATTCTCTATAGGGCCTATATCGGTTGTAAAGTGGCTATAAAATATCGGACGAATCGGGCAATTCTATATAGGACTAATATCGGAGGAATAACGGCCTCTTGTACCTTTATCGAGCCAAGATTTGTGAATATTGTTCCAATGAGGACTCAAGTTATTTCGCTGCTAGGGGAAATTGTTCACATAACAAGCATAAAAAATGGAATTAAGCAAAAATGAAGATCAATAAATCAAAATGGAAAAGCGATAAAAGCAACATAAACCAAAATTGTTCTTAGTACACATTTTTAAATAAATATGGAAGACTGTTAAAAAAAAAAAAACTGTTAAAGGTTACTGTTTCTCTTGTTTTTACTTTTTATTTTAATCATTGAATTTTTGTGGTATTATGATTTTATTCTTATTTTGTCTTCCATTATGGGGCCTTGGGGGAACAGTCAGTGTTTGGTTGAACGCTGACTACAAAAAGGTTCCAGCATGTTAGCAGGGCAGTGTGTTCCCTAAAGAAGTACTGTTTTTGCTGACTTGCTTATCTTTGAAATTTCGTTTTGTTTTTATTTAAGTTCTCCTATATTTATTTAAATTGTTTACATAAACTAGCATTTAAATATTTAATTTAGGCTTCTTATTTTGATGATGTCTTTTTTATATCACACAATGAGTTCAGAGAGTTGATCTTCAGATGGTATATCGATGGTACAAATAATATACTTGATTTCAGAAATTGATGACCCGGAAAAATATGTAATGAAAAGCTCTTATGGAAAAGCAAGAAAGGAGAAACAACAGTTTTAGATGTCATATTAAAGCATTTTTACTTATAAAAGCATTACACTTGGTAAAGTTAAAGTACATCCTTTCATTGGTGGTGTGCGCCAGTTAATATTTACTCTGTACAAAATGTCATAATCCGAATGATTTCTAATTAAACACTAATATCCCTTAATATTAAGGGGACCGGAAAGTAATGTCGTTTCGGCGCATTAAATATTCGTTAGACTTAAAAACCAATTCATTTTTTTCCGATCCGGCATTGAAAGGTTGTTGCTAACGAGGGTGAATACAGTATTGATTAAAAATAAGATCTTGACAACAAATATCAAATGCACCGAAACGACATTACTTTCCGGTCCCTCTAATATGTAATCCAAGACCTAACATAAGTCTTTATTTCATTTTGAAATGATTATTAATATTTTCGCTTATTAAAAAATACTGTATAGTATTCGTTTTAAGGTTTTGTCCGAAAACAGGTCAACTGCAAGTTTTAATTATTTTTTAAATTAACAAATTACGTCATATTGTAGCCTAATTGGAATGGAATATTTTGTAATCAGCCGTATTTTATTATCAAAAAATAAAAACAGATCTCTCTCTCTCTCTATATATATATATTTCAAGTTGATACTTAACTATTCAGTCCCTTGTCACTCCTGTAAAATTAGTTTGTTAGAAGTGACCAGTAATCAAACTCATTGATTTATTTACCAGTATTTGCGTCAGTCAAATTTTCTCTGCCAGTCTCAAAATTCCTGTTATAGCCAGGACCATTTGCGTACAGCAAGGTTGTATAAGGCATGCTGTCTACATCGGATTCTTTATTATCTAGACCTATTAAGGAAGAAAAATTCAATAAGAAATATTGAATCTCAAGTTGTTTTTTTTTTGCAATGCACGTTACTTTGCATTAATATATACACCGAAGAGCCATTACATTATGACCACCCTCCATCTATAACAAAAGACTCGCCCAGGTTTTCATGGTTTCTCACCCAGGAGCAATGTTTTCATGGGGCACATTAGGACCCATAATCCTCATAGAACAATCCTTGACGTCTGTAAGCTACTTAAACATAGTTGCAGACCAGGTTCACCCATTCATGGCAACAGTTTTTTCCTGCGGGGGATGGTGTTTACCAACAGGATAATGCACCATGTCATAAGGGTTGAATCGTCGAGGAACATTCCAGTGACTTTCATGTTTTGTCTTGGCCCCCAAATTCACCTGACCTTAATCCAATAGAGCATTTGTGGTCCTACTTGGAAAACCAAATTCGTGCTGCCACGCTACCCCCTCGCAATGTGAGGGAATTGCAGGACCAGTTTGTGATCGCTTGGTACCAGATACCTCAGACTACCTATCAGCACCTTGTGGAATCAATGCCTCGGCGGATGCTAGCAGTTTTGATGGGCTAAAGGTGATCCTACATGCAGGGTGGTCATAATGTAATGGCTCTTCGGTGTATATATATTACAAATACGGAGAAAACATGAAAAAATTATAAAGATTTTTTAAAAGGGAAGAAAAAAATTAAAAAATATATATATTTAAGAAATATTTGAAATGTGCAAATCTAATTGAGGTAAATCTATGGCTAAATATCTTCTTATATTTCAAATAAAATTTAAAAAAAAGTTTTTTTCCAATAAAATGTTAATATCTCTAAAATTATCAATATCAATTTTTTTTTAAAAATAAATTTATTTTTTATTAACTGTTATTAATATCTCTACAATCAACAATAATTAAAACTTTAGATTATCCAGTATAATATTATTAACTTGCGCACGTCCAGATTCGGGGCAATCCAAGGCAACTAAAATAAACACGTTTCTTTACTTCAGTAAGAACGCGTCATAAAATGATCCCATCATTATCAATTTACGCTTTTATTTTCATATTTTTTTTCAAACTGACAAACTTGTTACGAAAATATTTTAAATCCTTTTTGAAAGATACCGGTTCCATAGCACGTGGAAATGCATTTTACCTAGATTTGCTCATCTTTTTTCTATCTCGGGTACTGTAGTCTTTCTAATTTCGTTTCTCACTTTTATTTTAAATTTTTCGTTGGTAACTTTACGTTTTTTTCTTATTATTTCAAATCACTTTTGTTTATTCTCATTCACCGGGCAGTGGCACTGAACTATATAAATAATATAATAAAAACTTAATGCTGTTTGCAAGTTTTAAGTGAAATTATAATACGGATTTCTTTTTTTTTCCTCGCCTAATTATGGGATTGTATTATTATTGCTTTTACAGTTTTACAGTAATGCCTGCAAAGTTCGTATAAGTGTTGATTAAAAATTGTAATATTAAAACAATTTAGCGTAACAAATGATGTAAAGGTTGTTAACTTTTTTATGCTCGTAAAAAATTTAACTCAAATTTGAAGGCAGAATTTTTTGAGTCACTTTTTTTTAAAGAGGTGATAAAAAATGTTACCTAAAATAGGATTTCCACGCTTTGGCGTTCCTCCAAAAGAGAAGACGTGAGAGTGGTCCGAAGTGACAACTATTAATGTTTCATCGTCAGCTTTGGTCATCTGCAGTGCCGTGACGATTGCATCCTCAAGTGCCAGAGTGTCCACTAAGGCACGGTGGGCATTGTTGAAGTGATGAGAGTGATCAATTCGACCTCCTGAAAGACATAACTCTCATTCTAAATGAAATACATGCAGGGTGATTCTACGATCCTGGAACAGACATTTGGAGGGACGGTCTAGTGTACTAAAACATGCATGATTTTCAACAGGAATGAACCCAGAAAACCTTACGGCAACCTTGTACCGGAATTTTCTTTTTATCGTCATGAAAATGTTGGTACTAAAAACCTTTTTCCAATGAAGCAAAAATATTGCAGTTTCAAACCTTTCATCCTAAAAGGATTGAAAATTATTTTTCAAAGCTTTTTTTAAAAAGTATTGTCACTTAAGTCCATAATGACGTATTAGCTGACGTCACACTAACGATAGGATCAAATTGCATTGTCCATTAAAATTTCCATTAAAGGTCTGGTTTCTTAGAACAAGCGCCTTATCTGGGCGTCAGCGGGACACCAACGTCCCGCTGACGCCAACAAAGTACTGGTTTGTTAGCTCAAGGCCTGGTTTCTTAGAACTAGCGCCTTATCTGGGTGTCAGCGGAAAGTTGACGTAGAACTGACGCCAAAAAAATACTTTTTTGTTAGCTCAGCGTGAGCAGTCGGTCCAACGCAGACATTATCTCTCATTGCGCATGCGTTAATAACGTAAACAAATATTTATTTTGAATTTGTANCTGCGTTGGACCGACTGCTCACGCTGAGCTAACAAAAAAGTATTTTTTTGGCGTTAGCTCTACGTCAACTTTTTGCTGACTACCAGATAAGGCGCTAGTTCTAAGAAACCAAGCCTTGAGCTAACAAACCAGTATTTTGTTGGCGTCAGCGTGACGTTGACGTCCCGCTGACGCCCAGATAAGGCGCTTGTCCTAAGAAACCAGACCTTTAGAATGACTTAGATTTTAGATTATTTTCTCCTTGAGACTAGCTTTATTAAAAGATGTTTTCAAGCTCGAAAACCCTACGTCAACCTCGATTTAAGGTTTTTATATAGAAGGCTATTTTCCAAGGTTTTGGGTTAGAGTAATGTGCGTAGAATAGAACAGATTGTCACAGATGTTGTTTTAAGGTAAGAAAGTTTACACGTAAACCACATAACAAACCTTTTTAAGTTTACATTAAAAGGTTTATGCTGAGTGAAAGTAAACTTCGTCAACCGTGCAAACCGTGTCAAGGCATGAACACGAAAAAAAGGAGGAAAAACACGAAACTAACGTCATAAATTTTGCATTGGATCTTGTCCTCCGATATCAAGTAATGATGTTGAACAAAATCTTTAAATTTGAAAATGCAATTCTGATTTTTCTAGAATTTTGAAACTAATTGTTGACATTTACCTTTATGAGGTATTTATTTTATTCATATATAACACATTAAGTTTAACTATTATCTTATTTTTTTTAATTAAATGTGGTAATATAAGTTACAATTTAAAATTTAATTCAGAATAAATGTCAATACAAAACATGTATTCGAAACATTGTTATGTACTCATGTTACGTTTGTTAAGAAACATACATTGTTAGGTTTGTTTCTTATGTACTCAAAACATGTATTCGAAACATTATTCGATGATATTATTTTTTCATTGAGTTTATTTTTATTGTTCTTAAGGGTTTTCACTCAGTTTTTAAAGGCATTTTGTATGAATTATTAGCTCATCAACTTCCTGGCTTTGTATATAGCGCTAGGCCAGTATTTTAAAGATCACATGTTAGGAATTCCTGCCTTAAACTATTCACGTGAAAGTATTTTGTTAAAGATCGAGAAGAGTATTCAACTCTAGTATATGTGTATATAAAGTGTACAGTAAGCAAAAAAAAAAAAAAAAAAAAAAAAAAAAAAAAAAAAAAAAAAAAAAAAAAAAAAAANAAAAAAAAAAAAAAAAAAAAAAATATCACCCAGAATAACTTTTGTTTTAATGATCGGATTTTCACGCACTAAATGTCAATCTTAATGATTTCTAGAGGTGACTTCAAATATGCTTATTGATATGCTAATTACAAATTTAAATACGAAATCAGACACAAAAACGCACTTTCTCTGAATGAACCTAAATTTTTTTACATGCTCGGATTCCTGACCGTAAAAAATAGGGGAGAGGATTTGACAAAATTTCGAAAATATTGGATCACAAATTGGGGAGCTAGGAAGTTATATATATTTGGCTTCGTCCCCAAAAGATGCCAAGAACTATCGCTATAGCAGTAGTAGAAATTTAACATAACCCTACACTAACTGAGTAATCGAAAAGAGAGAAATACTCCGTTGCTACGCAACCAAGCTGAGAGAATAAAAAAAGAATGAAATAAAAACTGAAGCCATTCATGGTTTTGTGTGAACTCGAAACAAAAAGGCTTTTTTTTCTTTTTTAAATAGTTAATAGAAAAATATCTAAGTTTTTAGGCAACAGGTTTGTTTTTAGTTGATTTCTGCACAGGAAACGAAAATTTCTTTTATTATCATCTCCTTTAAAAATAAAACTTGAATCCATTTATAAATTATTTATCATTTACCAAGATTCTACTAATTGAACTCATAAACTTTTTATAAGGCATTAATTTGTATTTTTTAAGCTGTTTTTAATTTTTTTAAATATGAAGATTTTATACTAAAACCAATTTTGCATTATCTTAATTACATACAGAGTTGTAGGGCGAATCACGAAAAATATCCTGTAAAATCTGGAATCTAATGCACATTCACAAGGCTTTATATAAATCACGATATTTTTTTTATTTTTTTATATAGTTTAAGAAATTAGTAAATGTCAAAAAGATTTAAATATGTATGTTTAAGAATATTGTATGATTCATTTTTTAAAAAATCATTTCATTCTACCAAACATGTGAGTTACGTGGCTTTCATCAGATAAAGATAATTTGCCAATAGCATCCAGCTGTTTTTATGCATTCTGAAACGGATTTTCGTAAATTCTCCATAAAATGTAGCTCAACATGTTTAGCAGTTACGATCACCAATATTGCTACGGTAATTTCTTTGCTTTATTCCATTTATTACAAATTTATTTTACGATTCTTACCATCGTTACATACATATATATCTGATACGATAGTCTCCTTTTAAAAAGAATTCGCAAGGTCCTTAAGAAACTGTAATAGTGACAACAAAATCGAGAAGAGAAAAGTATTTTATTACGTTTATATTCACTACACACAGCATTACATAATCAATTTCAAATATAACTTCAAATATCTGGTTAAAATATCTGGTTTAATATCTGGTTTTAATTTTAAAGTTAATGATAATTTTGTTTGTTCAATATAGGTGTCTTGGTTTTTTTTTAATGTTTTAACGACCGCAATAACCCAGTTAAAATAATAATTTATAGATGTTTGCTTCGTTCAGCATAAGATTTTGATCAAAGTAATGATCAAGATAAATCCACATTATACTGGATAGTAAAAACTTCATTGGCTTAAAAGAATATGAAGAAAATAAACACCCAATCTTAAGATTCGCATGACGTGAATGAAAAAAAAAAGTGATATGAAACAGAAATGTGAAATTGTCAACGGAAAAACATAAAAGTGGACAACCAAACTGGAAAACCGCAGTACCCCAAAAGTAAAACAGAAAATTGAATATTAAACAAAAACAAAACTAAAAAAAGCAGCAGTAGCCGGGAAAGGCAAATCAGTACAAAATGCATTTCTACGTGCCAGGGAAAGCGGGGTGAAACTATTATCGTTAACTAGGGCGTTCATATGAATAAAACAAGATATCAAGATGCGCTGATGTAGCATGACGTTATCGCGATTAAATTTTTCCCGAACATGCAAAGAATTTGCAGCAATAGATTGATCGCATTTTTGAAAAGGGACTTATCTACCGTGTTCTTTTAGTCAAAATTTTAAAACCCGTCTGGTTTATACTATATAGCTGAACTTGCTCTGGCAAGGAATTCATTCTCCGTTTCACTCTCGGCTACCAAAGTTTCACAAATTTTTTTTTTGCCCATTTTTATTTTCTATTTCTCGATGGCAACCATACATTTTTTATTTCAAATCACTCTAGTTTTCTTCATTCACGTCGGCCGATTCTTAAAAAAAATAGATGCCTATTTTTGTGCCAGTTAAACATTTCCTTTAAACGTTGCCATTCCCAGGGTTCGCTTGACTTTAATGACTCCTGACGTGAATTTTTTTGAGCTCTCGAAACATCTCAACTTCCCTTTACATTTTCATATTGTTTGAAGATAAGGAAATTTTTGTCTACCCTCTTCAATTTCTTTGGATTATTCATTTAGTGACACAGTATATTAAATTAAAATACTTAATGTGTCATTAAAACTAGTTTCACGTAAGATAATGGTTATCACTCTGAGATTGGAAGAAAAACATAATCTATATTATATAAAACGCTAATACGTACGTACGTACGTATGTATGTATCAATAAAACCGATGATATTTCTTTTCTCGCGCTGGCAACAGTTTTCATTTTTAATTGATCGGATTCGGCGCGCAAGAGCACGTAGTGAGCATCATATGGCTAAAATAACCAGAGTGAGCATTATCAGGTTGTTCAATTCAGATTCATGCACTAAAAACATGACAATATTTAATTTAAACTCAATTAGGAATTAATTAATTAATTGAAGTGAGAATGCTTTAAAAGGCCGCTGTTGAATTGATATTTTTCTACTGGGAGCTACCTAAA